CTTTCCCTTAACTTTACCGCCTTTTCCGCGTCCTGACATATTCAATTTGTTAATCTGCTAAACGAACGACGTCGACTATGAACTTGCAAATGCACAACATGATCTCCGCGAACGTTGTATTTATATGAACTAACCGACCAATCGACGCGAACGTTTGCCGGCAAACGCCTGGGGGCGGAGTCTACGGTCGTAACGTCACCTGTCTTAAATACGGCCAGAGAATTGCAGTCGTTCCGTTGAGTTCCGAGCTAGCAGCCGTCACGAGCATACACTCGTGCGACTGCGACCCACCCGGACATACAGTGCGATCCTACTGTGATTTTCATCGCGGTACGATCGCCATCCACGATGGCGAGAATCGAAAAGCTGGCGAGCCAGCTTAAGGAGAAAGAGGAGAACTTCGAAATGCTCGCTGAGCAGATGAAAAATCTGCAAGCCGCATTCGAGAAGGCGAGGAATGATATCGATGAGGTGAAAAGGAAGCTCCTCAAAGCAAAGAGAAAAGCTAAGAAGACGGAGGAAGATGTAGAAGGAGAGGACCAGGGAGAGGAGGACCAGCAGCCTACGGAGAACTTGGACATGGATGCCCAAGATATCGACGTAGAAGAAGCGGAGAAGAGGACGGACGACACCGACTTCAGTGTCGCCACCAGACGGAGGAAGCGGGTGCGAGTTTCCTCCGAAGAAGAAGAAGAAGAACCCAGGCAGCGAAAGATGCCAGCTGCCACAAAGAAGAGTGGTCCTAGAGCAACCAGGACCACCGAGGCCCCCATGGCAGGAACAGGAGTTCCGCCAATCAACATCGAGGGCACCGCTGATTGGTCATCCTTGAGTAGGATGATGAACAGCAAGGGGATTCAATTCTCCAAAGCGAGGACGGCGGGTACCAGTGTGAAGGTATTCACAAATACACCAGCTGACTACCGTCAGCTAGTCGCACTGCTTGAATCCATCAAGCGGCCCTTCTTCACATATCAACTGAAGGAGGACAGGATGGACCAGAGGGTCATTCGTGGGCTTCCGAGAGAGATGTCAGTCAATGACATCAAAGAGGATCTGGTGAGCCAAGGCATCGCAGACGCCGTGGTTCAGCAGCTGACCTCAAGGACCACAAAGAAGCCACTTCCGCTCTTCCTCGTCAAGACGAAGATGCCGGAAAAGCTTGCAGAGATCCAGAGGCTGGCCATGCTCACGGGTCAGCTTCGAGAGGAAGAAAAAGTCTTCCGAGCCCAGCCAGTGCTACCGCTGCCAGCGGGTACGGGCACAACACAGCGGAAATGCCGTCTCGCTGAACGGTTGCGTTAAATGTGGGAGAGGACCACAACAGCACCAGCTGCAGTCTGCCAGCGCCGCCAACAGGGCAAACGAAACGCCAAGTGTTGCCTCTGTGGAGAAGGCCACCCCGCCCAACTACAAGGGATGTAGTAAGGCGCCGAAGAAAAGCCTTGCTTCTGCCCCAAAGCAGTCCCCACCACAAATAGGACTTCTTACGCCCAAAAGTGAAGAAGCCTATGTCCACTTCTGCCCCAGCAGCCCGCCACTGCTACTGGAAACTACTGCGCAGAAAGCAAACGGCGATGACAGACTGCTAGCAATGATGCAAGCCATCATAACCCGCCTGGATGCACTCGAGGCCAAGATGCAAGACAAGCACTAGACCCGAAATGTCTACAGGTCAAAAACGTAGAATCTCTACGCATTATCTCCTGGAACATCAACGGTTTCAGGGCACGGAAACCAGAAATCCAGGAGATACTAGACCAGTAACCAACCAGAGGTGATGGCCATCCAAGAACGAAGTTGGACTGCTCCCATAGTCTGACGTTCCCGCGGTACGAGACGTACCGCTACGACAGAAGGGGCAGAGGTGGAGGAGTCGCATTACTCGTCAAACGTACCTTGACGAGTCCATGTCCTCGACGATGCCGCAGACATAAATGGGGACGGAATCACGGTCCAGGTCCATCACAACCCACCGTCCCTACAGAATCACCTCCCCTATATGTGCCACCAGGGGAGGCCCTAGACGAAGATGACATCGCTGGACCTCCTGAGAGGCCCAGGAGCACGCATAGTCATCGGAGATCTAAAACTGCAATCTCCGGCTTGGAACAACAAACGTCGAAGACAGGAATGCAAGGCAGCTCCAGGAACACGTCGATGCCCTGGCGGGGGTCATCGTCGGTTCCGGAGCAACCAACCTACATTCCATTCGGCCTTGGGCGACCTGCGGTACTGGACATAGCCATCCTCCGCAACATCAGAGAGGAGTTCGAGATAGAGACCCTGGTGGAAGGATCGTCGGACCACAATCCGATTCTACTAACACTTGGTACAGGGTCTAGAACTCGAGATAGCTTGAGCACCAAACGGACGAACTGGAACCCTTTACAAATCCAACGTCCAGAGGAACATCACTCAAATTCCAACCATCCGATCAGCGGAGGAAACTGGACAACGCAGTAGAGGAGCTGGAGAATGCTGTCCTTGCGAGCGCACGAGGACAGCACCCGCCTCCGAGACTACGGCAGTTTCTAGATACCTAAATGGTCCAGCACCGCACCATATTAGGCACCCTGATCAGGGAGAACAGAGACTCAAGCGAGAACATCTCCAGCTGTTGACAGAGGAGTCGAGAGTTGCGCGAAAACAGAGCATCGTTAGCTCTGAAGAACGCACTCGCGGAACTCCAAACAACAGATGGAATGCAGCCTGTGCAGAACTAGAGACCCAGGATGGTACGGCCTGGTCTATGCAGCGAAAATTTCGTCGTCAGCGCACCACGATCCCCACTCTTCACGGCCAACCGCGGCCTTGGCCTACTCCAGTGAAGAAAAGCCGAAGCATTCGCCGATTCGCTAGAATCCGAATGCAGACTCAATTACCATGAAGACGAGGACGACAACCACGAGGAGGCCGTGGAAGTCGCAGCCGAAACATGAGGAGTCGACCACCCTGGCCAGGAGACGGATCACCCCTCCAGTCCAGAGGAAATCCGTCTGATCATCCGCAGGTTGAAGGTCAGAAAGGCGCCGGGAAGGGACGGCATCAACAATAGGATGCTGAAGAACCTTCCCACCAAAGGCATTGCTGCGCTCACCAACATCGCCAATGCCACTCTGAGACTTAACCACTTCCCGCGGCGGTGGCGGGAAGCCCAGGTTATAATGCTCACCAAGCCAGGCAAGGACCGGAAGTTGCCCCAGAACTACCGGCCCATCAGCCTGGTTTCCTCGGTGGGCAAAGTAGTCGAAAAGGCTATCGCCGTTCGACTAGAGAAGCAGGCAGAAGAACTGCAACTTCTCCCCCCAGAGCAATTCGGCTTCAGATCCTCCCACAACACGGAACTCCAAGCGCTACGACTGACGGAAAACATCACCAGCGGCTTCAATCTCCAGGAGGCAACCGGTCTCGTCCTGCTGGACGTGGAACGAGCCTTCGACCGAGTTTGGCACGATGGACTCATCGCCAAAATGGAAGCCGCCGGAATCGATGCGAACATGTGCCAAACTGATCCAGAGCTATCTAACACAAAGATGGTTCACGGTGAAGATTGGTACATGCCATTCAAACAAGACGTCAGCTGGAAGCAGGCGTGCCCCAGGGGTCAGCCTTAGCCCCCTGCTCTACAACATCTATACTTACGATGTGCCGAAGACAGCTGACACAATGCTGGCCCTATATGCAGACGACACTGCTATAGCCGCCAAGCATAGACGACCGAGATCATCCGTAGGAGACTACAGGGTTGAACTGGACCAAATTCAGGACTGGTGCGTGAAATGGAAATCCGCATCAACGTCCAGAAGACGCAGGCAATCTTCATTCAACGAAGAAGGATTGCAAGACCTCTCGAAGCATCCATCTTCGATGAAGATATCCAGTGGAGCGACAATGTCAAATATCTGGGGATCGTTTTTGACAAGTCCCTCACCTGGAAAGCGCACATAGAAGCTTGTCATCGCAAAAACCAGAGCAGCCATGGCTCAACTCTATCCATTTACTGGGGTAGACACAGCACAGATGCCGCTAGCGACCAAGCCTACTGCTGATCAAGGCCATCGCCAGACCTCAGCTCGCTTACGCCTCCGCCGCGGTCTGGGGGTACGCTGCCACCAGCTACCCGCAAGCGACTTGCTGCTCTAGAGATGAAGCTACTCCGGATCGCCACCAATGCACCTCCTACGTAAGGATACTCAAACCTTGCGTAGAGATCTCTGCATGGGTAGATACCTCATCCACGAGTACATGAGGAAAAAAGCGGAGAAGCCTTCGAGAAAGCTCAGACCCACCCGAACGAGCAGCTCCGATTTCCTCATGGACTACGATCGGCAGAGAGGCCTCGCAACCGCAGAACCAGGTACCCCAGACCAAGGTCCCAGTTGGCACCCGCTAACTGGAACCTTGACTAGGCGACTAGGAAGCAAATTTGCGGCTGCTCCCCCCCCCCCCCCACGGCGTGGATGCAGAGACCAGGAACCCACCGGGACCAGGACCAACCAGGACCCGCCACGACCAGGACCCACCAGGACCAGGACCCTTCAGGACCAGGACCAGGAACACCATATTGGTAAAGATGACTTGAACTCTTGATTTTTCGAAAACAAGAGTTTCAAGAGAAACTAGCAGACCCCTCTATCGATGATCGCTTAACGACCATCGATAGAATGTGCGAGGTAAAGGGAACCAACCCGGCGTTCCCAGAGACTGAAACACATGAGGAGACGTTTGTAGCAGACCGCAGGTCACGCACAACACATGGCCTACCGAGACGCCTGATGAGTCGGGCCACGCGGAGGTTTAGGGTTTAGTGGGTATTAGGTGATCTCTTCAAGACCCTGGAAGCCCCACACACGTCGTAGCTCGTGCTATGGTATGGTGCGTAAATGCATTCCCCCCCTCGTTAAAAAAAAAAAAAAAAAAAAAAAAAAAAAAAAAAAAGTCGTTTCCGTTAGTCGAGCGTTGGTTGTCGATTATACTCAGCATCATCTCACAATAAAATGCCACCCAAAACAAGCTGTAAGGCTTGCCAAAAAAAGCGGGCAAGGCGCAAGAAGAATATCTCAAAATCTGACAGAAAAAGAAGCGCAGGAGGAAGGAAAGTTACGCAATTTACATCTACAAAAGTACTGAAGCAGGTACATCCCGATACGGGTAATCCAGCAAAGCGATGAGCATCATGAACAGCTTCGTCAACGATATTTTCGAACGTATCGCTGCGGAAGCTTCCAGATTGGCACATTACAACCAAACGTGCCACGATAACTAGCAGAGAAATTCCAGACAGCCGTACGACTATTGCCTACCGGGAGAATTGGCCAAGCACGCAGTCAGCGAAGGTACCAAAGCCGTCACCAAGTACACCAGGTTCAAAATAATATAGACGGTTGTATGTTTCGCTTCGACGGTCTTACGGTTCGAAAAAATAAGAACAAAAAAAAAAACGGTTCTTTTCAGAACCACTTATGTTATGATAAAATGCAAAATGATAATTAGCTGTGGTCGTTATTTTAATCTTTTCATCTATCTCTCTCTCTCTCTCTCTCTCTCTCTCTCTCTCTCTCTATATATATATATTATATATATATATATATATATATATATATATATATATATATATATATATATATATATATATGTATAGAAGAAGTCCGTAATATCTGGAAGATGTCACCTGTATCACTGCACTGGGAAACAGTACCGTGATCGTAGGTGATCTAAACGCGAAGTCCACCATTTGGGGCTCAAGAAACAGAAACAGTCACGGCGCTGTTCTGGAAAGACTAATGGATGAACCTGGATATACCATGATAGGTCCGGACGAACCTACAATATACCCCAGCAACGGAGGTAGACCAGACGTCATAGATATGGCGATTCTGAAGGAAATCGACATGCGCACCACCATCGGCGCCATGCAAGAGGGAAGCTCAGACCACAACCCCATCTTTCTCTGTACGGGAGATGGGATAGAACACCTGTGGAACAAAGAACAGTGAAGAGAGTGAATTGGCAGCGGTTTAGAACCAGACTGCACTATCACAAGGACCACTACTACAGATCGAAAGCCCCGAAAGCATAGAAGAAGCGGTCACGGACCTAGAAAGGAAGATTAAGGCTGCGTTAGAAGCCGCAAACCACCGTGGAAGACATAACGCAACCAAACAGGTTCAGGACCTACCTGACGAGGTAAATCGCAAGATCACCGAAAGAAACAGAGCCCGAAGAGTAGCCCAGGAGACCAGAAGCCCCACTGACATCATGGTGGGCAAAACAGACCTTATGAGACCAGGCACGAGACGCCTTGAAAGCAGCACCATCAGAGCACCTGGGATAAGAAACTCGACGAACTATCTCCAGCTGACCCAGGAATGTGGAACTTGGCTAAAATCCTCAGAAATAGAAGACAGCCCATCCCCCCAATACACAGCGAACAGGGGATGGTGTACACAACCGAAGAGAAGGCGGAAGCTTTTGCTGACAACCTTCAGAGACAGTGTACTCTCAATACTCACCCCGATGAAGACGAAGACTTCATCGACGAGGTGATGAGAAGATCGAGGAGAGCTGTTCAGAGGAAGGAAGAGCCATCGAAGACATGCCCCTCTCCAGGCGAGGTAAGGGAAATCATCGAAAGACTCAAGGTGAAGAAGGCACCGGGTGTAGACGATATTGGGAACAGAGTCCTGAAGAGACTCCCGAGGAAAGCGATAATGGCAATTACCAACATCGTCAACGCCATACTGAGACACCGGTACTTTCAGATCACTGGAAAGTAGCCGAGGTGATCAACATTCCTAAACCTGGGAAAGACCCAAGGTTCCCCCAAAACTACAGACCCATAAGCCTGTTGACGGCACTGAGCAAGATTGCGGAAAGGGTAATCGAACGAAGACTGAAGAACGAAACCGAAGAACTCCGAGTAGTTCCAGACGACCAGGGTCGGATTCCGATGCGGGCATTCAGCAGAGCACCAGGTCCTAAGGCTGGTCGAGATGGCAACGAAATCGTTTCCAGACTCGGCGGGGCCGTGGGAGCCTGTGTTCATGGATGCCGCAAAGGCGTTCGACACTGTTTGGCATGACGGACTGATCTACAAGATGGTAGACCACGGATACTCAAAGGGGATGATCCAACTGGTGAAGTCCTACTTGAAGCACCGAAATTTCCGAATTAGGATCGGTAAAACAACCTCGACGACGAGGACTGTGGAGGCAGGAGTACCGCAGGGAGCGGTTCTACCACCCCTGCTGTATCCAATCTACAGCTCAGACATCCCGAAGACTCCTCAAACGCAACTGTATGTGTATGCGGACGATACAGCATATGCGGCAGAAAGTACGAGACCCCGCATGGTTACGGAATATCTGCAACGAGCGACCACCAACCTAGAGGAATGGTGCATCAAGTGGAAGATCCGCCTCAACCCCGAGAAGACCGAAGCGGTACTGTTCCGAAGAAATCGAAGATTACCTCAGACCAAAATAAAGATGACGACCACCAGAATGGAGAGAGGCTGGAGAAGAGATGAAGAGGTTGAGGTCGACTGGAAAGACTCCAGCACATACCTTGGAGTCAAGATGGACCAGAAACTCACTTGGAAGAACCATGTCGAAGACCGGGTGCAGAAAGTGAAGATGGCACGCTCCAAACTAAGACCCTTAACGGGCAGAAGAAGCAAAGTGTCACTAAAGAATAAGACCATCATGATTCAGATGGTGCTGCTACAAATCATGACTTACGCAGCAGTAGCTTGGGGCTACGTTTCCAAAACGATGAAGAAGAGGCTCCAAGCTCAACAAAACATGGCACTCCGTGAAGCGGTGGACGCACCGTGGTATGTACCTAACAGAGTGCTATATGACGAACTACGACAGGTACCGGTCGTAATCCAGATGAGAGAGAGGGCCAGAAAGTTCTTTGAAAAGAAATGTGCTGATTGAAGCCGCCTTGGATTACGACCCAAGAACAATAAGGCGTCATAAAAGACCGAAAAGCCAGCTGCAACAAGAAGATATTTGGCCCTAGCAGCTGATCAGGCCAAAGAAAAGGGGAGAAGACCGACAATAGTTGTACACCCAAGAGGGGAAAGAACAGCCCGTGTACAACGGGTGGACAAAAAGAAGCCTGTCGATTGAGGTGGCCAGAGTCAAGCACGGACTCGGGGCTAACCTCAGGAGACGAATGACTTACAAATATGACTGACTGACGACGACTGACTGACTCCAGTCGACGAGGAAAGAGCGAAGGCTCACCAACCTTTAGGAGGGGCTTAGGTCGAAAGCCCCCAGCGCAGGACCCCCAAGAAAAGAGGCCGGCCATAAAGTCGAGAACCGACAGTTGGAAGAAACGTCCACCACGCGCTTCCGCGACGCGTGCGCGATCGAGTCAAATTTCGGGAAAAAGGGGCAAAATTGGGGAAGGGGGGATAGCTCGTTCGGCAGCACACACTCGGGGAATGCGCAAGCGGCCTGAACCACGCAGCGCCACTCCAGGCCTTTGGGCGGGAGTGGGGGGAGGAGCTGATTGCTCTTCCCCCCACTCCTCAAGGGTTTGAGGTTGCCTGGAACAGGGGTGGTGGAGGGACCGCACAGGGTAGGAGGGTGTGTGTGTGTGTGTGTGAAGACCGTAGCAGAAGAAGAAGAAGAAGACGAAGACCGTTTTGTAAAATAACAAAATTAAGTAACACAATTTTTTTTATACATTTATAGCCCATAAGTAACAGCAGACCGAATATATTGCCAACGGAAAATCCTTTTTATTTTGGTATTCTGAGTTTAATTGATGTTAACTGCCCAAAATTGATTACTTATCGTTTATTCCTTTCCCCGCGGATCGGTGTATGGTAACTTGTTCTAACAGTTAATAGTATTAACGGAGTGTCATTGTTTTTATTGTTCAACAGCGAAATCAGTCAACATAAGGGTATCCACGATTTCCGAAGGTTAATACAGGGTGTCCGCAAAGTTGGGCTTTTCCTTTTCAGAAACAACTACCCTTGAAATAACAAAGGTAATGCGTAGTGAAACGAGGGCCGACCATGTAAAAAAATATATAAAGGAAAAAGTACTCACTCTCCAGTTGACCCCATTACGTGTGAACGTAGATTCGTCTGTCACCAATATGCACTTCAAAAAGTCCGGATTATTGTCATGTTGATGCAACAACCACTCACAAAACCGCACTCTTGCTGGAAAATCGTCAGGTTGGACGTTTGCCACACTCTAGTTTGTGATACTCGCACTTCTCTAGCCACGTCTCTAGTGCTTGTTGAGGGATTCTCGTCTACGCGATTCAGTAGTTCTTCCTCAACTAGCACCATTCGTGGTTGTCTAGACCTCCCACTGTGCCCACCTCGATATTCCTCCAAATGGCCCGTATCCCTGACTCTCTGGACCGGGTACACAAATCTGCGGGGCCTTGGATGATGTCGTCTAGGGAAAAGATCTGCATACACTCGCGACGATTCTGTATCATTTTGAAGACGTTCATTAATAAATTAACAACATATCAACGAGTTCATTATTGGTATATGAGTGTGCCATTATTATTATATTTATTATACCTCTATACGCGTGACCCTTTACCGTCGGTTGAAGGTTGCATACTGACCTGACACTCGGACCCCCACCCCCGACCCAGTTCTGTCGTCGGGTTCAGCTAGTAGCCGGTACCTGTCTGGGGCATCGCGGCGGGTGGCGGCTACAGGACGGTATTCAGATATTTTTGATGTTGCAGAGCCCTTTATCTCGGTTCCCTTAAGATATTGGTGTATATGGCACTAAGAAAAATTGCTTATGTTTTCAAGATCTACACGTCGTGTAAAGGATAACCCCAACTTTGCGGACACCCTGTATAATAGAATTAGAACCGTTCGATGTATATATTCTTTTCAAATTACAGTTTTTCGATAACACAGCATAGCATGTCCATATATGTATATATATATATAATATAATATATATATATAGATATATATATATATATATATATATATATATATATATATATATATATATATATATATATGTATATATACACGTACATAAACATAGAATCACATGTTTATGTACGTGTATATATACATATATATATATATATATATATATATATATAATATATATATGATATATACACGTACATAAACATAGAATCACGGAAACGAAATGTAGTACATCGTTATTCGAATATTCGTACATTTTCGAAGTTCGCTCAAGTATATACTTTCGAGACTACAACTGGAATATTAGTCGAAATATTAAAGATCTACACACTTTCCAATATGACGTTGAATCACTGACCGGACGTACAGCGATATCGGATTGTTCGCCTGCGATAATAGTATGGCCGCTATTAATGGGAAATGTATTTAAAAAAA